AAAAAGGGCTTGCTGTCTCTGCTATCAAACATCTAACACTTAGCTGCCCATCCAAGCTATCACAGCATTTGTTTGCTGTAGCTTCTCAGTAGGAGAAGCTCAGTGATTGCTGAAGTACCTTTTCTGCACAGTTCTGCCCTCAGGCTCCTTCCCCCCCCCCTCTTTGTAGAGATACTGAACGCTGTCCTTTTCTGACGAAGCTCCCTGTATGATCTCATGCAGTCGTCCCCGTGTCTGGCCTCTGCTTGGCCTCCTGACAAAAGCAGAAGTAGCAACAAGAGCAATCAAGTTCAAGGCTCGATAAAGTATTTTTTGAAAAAATATTTCAGAACAGAAAATTATTCCCCCTTTTTTTTTTTTTTTTTTAATAAACATTGATCAAGTCAACTCTCTTTTACTTGAATAGCACACCTTAAAAATAAACGTACCAAATCACTTAAAACTTTCTACAGGAAGGACAAAAGCAGCAGATACCATGCTCAGAAAAGTTCCAAGCAAGCACTGTTCAGAAAGTTCGTCTTCTTCAGGTTTAAGGAAGAAAAAACAGAATATGCAAACGCCCATGCACTCATGTACTAAGAGAGACTGCAGTTGCTGCAGTTTGAAAGCAAATGAGCAGGCAGCTAACCTGCTGGGCTGTTCCCTATAGGTGTCACAACAAGACAGAGGAATTTGCCATGGAAAGTTTGGGGAGCAGCTGTCACCGAAAGAGACACGTATATTTTAAAGACTTTGTCATTTGTCTTCAGGGTGGGAAACGCTGTATTTGACCTCCAGCTGAGGCAGCTGCTCAGATGCAGCAGCATGGCTAGAAGAATAAAAGGAGGCACAGCTATTATTTCAGGTACAAACACCAGAAAGCAGAAACAAAAGGCACGGTCATTAAATCATCATTACTATTAAAAAGCACAGTGACAACTTTTCAAAACTTTTCATGCCACACGGGTCTCCCCTCCAGGCCTTCTCCCAAACAATTTGTATTAGCTAATTGTTAACTATCTCAATGGCCAAGTAAAACAAGACAAAAAAGCACGACATCAAACACTGTCTCGGGAACACCAAACTGTCCTGGATGGGAAATGCTAAGGAGCTGACACAGCTCTTGGTCTGTTCCCCTTCCCCTCATCTGAGGCTGTGCCATCTGAGAAGGCTGCTGTCCCACACGGCTCCAGCCTCTCATCTCCCCCTGCTTCCCCCCCGCCCCCGCCATCTGCAGCACCTGTAATCACTCCTCAACCTCTTCACCTTAACAGGAAGCTACCACAAAAAGGGTTAAACCAACTGGGATGAAACGGCACGGGGCCATTTGAATGAGCCAGGGGGGTGGGTTTCCCATAGAGTTGAGCCAGTTCGGCAGCTGGCTGCTCTGCCCTCTACGCTCAGGTTCGAGTCTTCTTCCATCAGGGATAAGTGAGACCCTCAGGCACTGCCACTGGGACCCTCACTCTCCTGGGACCCTGCAGAGAGCCAGCTCAAAACTAAGCTGTACCAGCAAAAGCTCTACTGCCAGTACAGGTCCCTGAGAAAGCTCAAGCTAGGAATCACCAGAGAGCAGGAGCAGGACTACCAATTACACTGGTTCAGCTGCCCCTGCAAACCAGTAGACCTGAAGGACATGAGGCTGGGGTGGCCCACCTGCTCCACAGAGCCAGGCCACACCAGGCACCCCAACTGGCACGGCATTGGTCAACAAGCCTCAACCTAATGTACTAAACTACTATAACTAATTTGCTAAGTTAAGCAAGGTGGGTACGTTACACTTGAATGATTTGTAAATGTTAAACCATAATATCCTGCTGTCTAAAATATTGTAAAAATAGAATATGGTACCCTGTGTGGATCTGAAATGATTTGTGATCACTATAACCTGTATTATGATGAATGTTTGAATATCTATGGATAAAATATAAAGTGTGTTATTCTCTTAATGTAATCGCTTCTCAGACACCCCACCTAGAGCTGGTATGCAATTGCTTCTCACCTAGAGATAATATGTCACCGCTTCTTGGACACCCCACCCCCCCGAGATAACATGTAACTGCTGGTTGAAGAAAAGCCCACCAAAAGATGGGATCATGAGTTTTTTAAAAGATCCAATAGGAGAAAAGCACGCCAAGAGAACAAGGCTTCGAGACTTTCAAAAGACCCCATAGGAGGAGGACAAAGACCCAAGCATCTCAAAGGACCCAATGGAGAAAGAGCAGGACAATCATCTGATGAGAGAGCACTGGTTAAAGACGGTGGCACAGAAGTATAAAAAACCACTGTTTTATGAACTCGGTGTATGTGTGGCAGAGTTGCGGCTCTCCACGCACTCAGTGCTGCTTTGCCTATTGCTTCCCACCCTAAATCGATTGAACCCAAATAAAACTATATATATATAGTTATAAAAATTGGCTTTGTATGATTGTAACACTAAGCTGGAAAGAGGTACTAATAGTGGAGGGCCCTTGGAAGGATTTAGTGCAAATGCTCTCCTCAGTGTTCACCTTCTCAAATGTGTTTTAATTAGAAAAGGGGTTTTTCTCCTTACATTTCAGAATGTCAGACACTAAACAATAAGGATTAAAAATGTTTCCAGAGCAATCCCTTTGGCAGCATTAAATTCATACTTGAAGGAAAGAATTCAAACCATTGTAAATTCTCCTTAAGCCAGGAGGAAGGGGAAAATGCTTATTCATTAAAAATGATGCCATTTGATATCTACACCAAGGGACTTCTGTAGGAAAGTGACTGGGAGAAGTGTTGAAGGTGTCTTTCAATAGATGTAGCAGAAAAAAGGAGGTGTTACTCAAAACAACATGCAAGCATCCTTGACAACTGTTGTGGTTTAACCCCAGCCAACAACTAAGCACCACATAGCAAAATCATGAAAGGCAGCTTTCAGTGTTGAACAATGTTTACAAAAAGCAGCAAAGGACAATCTCAGCATTTTTGCAAATACTGAATGAGGGAACAGAGCCACTGCTGCTTTTGAAATCAGAAAATGTTAATGCACCCAGATGTGGATATTAATCCTTTCAAAAAGTTAGGATGGTTTGAAATGACCTCACATCTGTAATCTCAGCCTGTCGGTCTTTCAAGTTGCCCATTCAATGATGTAGCTCTCTCAGATCATATGTGAATGTGACATCCTTAGAGCAGTGACTACATGTGACATTTCACAAAATATGTTACTGTATGCCCCAAAATGTGCATATTTAATATAAAAAATAAGAGCAGTGAAAAACACAATGTAGATGGGCACTATGAAATCCCTGGAATAACTGGTGAAACAACTGTACACATGGTAAAACTAAAGTAGTTATGAAACCAAATATTTAAGATCATTGGAAATAAAATAGTTATATATGCAACTGGGAAGTAAGAAGCAAAGCATAGGACTGAGAAGGCTTTTAGAATACACTGAGAGAAGAGCACAAGCTTTTCCAGTACTGCATCAATTAACAATGGAAAGACTGAAATCGGTACAGATTGCTTGAGCTGGAAAAAAAACATGTATTCCCAAAAAGTAATTACTGGTAGAAATCAAACACTTACACTGGGGTTTTCTAGGACATGATGACTGACCAGCAGTTTTCAAGACTATCCCCTCATCCAATGCCTAAAGGAAAAGGACTACAACATGAGACAATCCAAAGACTCACAACCTCACTTTCACTAACACACTGATAGACACACACCTCAGGCAGGATTAGGAAGTGAGGGGGTATGACTACTTTTAATAGATATATTTTCAAAGGAAACAAAGCTTTAATGTCTGCTGGAGAGCCTTATTGACAAGCATTAAAAAAAACCAAAAACCAACACATCAAGAAGAAGATGTGATAGCTAACTACTGGAGAAACTTACTAGAAATTCAGAAGAAAGGGAGATGGTGTCAGGTCAACTGAGTATTTTATCTTCCACACAGTTTTTCCTGATGAAAATTCACACAGTTTGTCCAACATTTAGTAAAATTAATGATTCCTTCCCATACAAAAAATAAATCAATTAGTCCAGTGAACATGGCTTGATGTGAAAGCCACTTTTGCACAAGGAACTGCTTAGAGCACTTAGGACAATAGGTAGCCATGAGTAAAGAAGCTTGGGGATGACAAAAACTGAAAAGGAACATGAAAATAAATGTTAACACCCAATCAGATGACTACAAAATGTTGTTTTGGAATAAGGTAACCTTTTCTGATGTTCTAAAATGGGGACTGTTTACCAGTTTTGTACTAAGCAGAAAACTTATCCATGCTCAGTCTGGAATGGAACAGTTACCTGCCTGTTTTCCAAGACAGTGCACATTATGTTGACATTCATCAGCTAAGAAAAGGAGAACCAGAATCAAATGCTCTAGTTAAATCAAACATGTGAGAAGCAAAAAGACCCTGAAGTGCATTTTCTACATTTACTATAGAAAGAAGCAATGACTATACATCGTAATTAAATATTCCTACATGATCAGAGCCCTCTAACCGATTATTTTCATAAAGTACTGGAGAAGTGGCTACTTAGCAATAGCATTGCTACCTACTTGGCTCAAAATTCTAAAGCTGATGAGACTTGACGTATGAGAAACCATGGTACTTGTTTTCAGACGTATGCAGTCAAGGAATAAATGTTTGGCAATAGATATATCAGCAAGTGCAGAATGAATGTGAAAGATCTAGAGGTTGACACATGACAGAAAATCAATGGTTTACCAAGATGGAGGGGCCTGAGTGTGTTAATTCTCACCATGAAATTACTGAATATCCATGCTTCTGAAAGTAATATTTCATCTATAAGATCAAACAGGGCAAAGAACAGCACTAGTTGGGGAAAATATGAATTTCCGAAGTCACATATCCTTAGAACAGCATGCCGTTGAAACACTAAAAGCAGCAGCACTATTACCACCAAATACTTGTTTAGTTTTCGTTTCTAAAGTATGCAAGAGAGTTACAGGCAGCATTTATTCAGAATATGACCATTCAGGAATCAGTAATACACCAAAGTAAGGCTCTTCCTACCAGCTGATTTTGGAGTGAATTTGTCCCTGTTGGCTGCACATACTGCCAGTAGCCTGTATCCAAGATCCAAGTCAAATCCTTGCTGAGCTGCCACTCGACTAACCACCTGCAAAGGGAAAAAGAGAAAGCTTCATTAGGGGTTACTTGAGCTCTTTGCAAAGTTACATTAGCCATCTTATCAGCACTAATGTTAGGCAACTGAATCTGTGCAATAGCCACAGTACAAACATGGTATCAGGCATTGCTGTCCAGTAGTTCCCAGTGCAAGCACAGCAAACTAAACACAGGAGTCTTCTGGTGATCTGTTTATTCAACCACTCACCAGAAGAAAGGCCTGGTAGTTCCATGAAAATTGGAGAGACAAAGCTTTTCCAGAAGAAATAATCCAAGTGAACTGTATGCAAAGATTGTACAGAACACTTGTACTTGAGACTCAGTATTGAGTCTCTATCTCTGTGTCACAAGCAGTTCCCAGGTCCTTTAGGTTAAAATGTCCTCCTCCAAACTTATGGGCAGTGTTCTCCTACACTGTGATCAGCGTCACAGTTGCTGCATTTCAACAATACTGTACTGGTAAAGCACATTTACTACGGTTTTAGAATAGAGGCCTGTGCAAGAAGTATTTCCCAAACACATTAAATAGGGAAAGAAGATTTTATTTATTTATTTATTTATTTGGTACTGATCTAGAAAGACAGAAAGACTAGCAAAATTAGACAAATAAATGACTAGGGTTAAGGATGAAAAGCAATCAGCCATTTCTCCAGGCCAGCAACTCAGCTATCAGCCAAGAATGTACTCTCATGAAAACCTGCATAGTGGAAACACAATACTGCAGTCATTCTGCCAAACTATGCTTAAGTTATACACAGCAGAGCTTTTATATTGCCTTCTAGTGGCACAGGATGATTTCAGACTCAGAGGCACAGATAAAACAGATTATTCTTACCATTGCCATTACTGCTTTGTATTGAAACAATGGTGAAGGAACTCCATAAGAAACAGAACACCCTTTCCTTGTGCGAAGCAAAAGAATTTCCCTATCCTAAATAGCTTACAATACAAGAAAACAGCCTTTTCCCACCCCCCATCTCCATCTGAAAGCTTCTTTCTAAATTAATGACACTGCAATTATCTGTGTCCAGGACTGGTTCCCTCCAAAAAGCAACAATATAGAACAGACTGAAGAACCAACATATGTGATAACCTACAAATGGTAAATAAATGCACTATTCTGCCCTACCTACTCAACACTATTACACGAATCACATTATTCTGAACTTTTTCAATATCTGCTTTTTCTAATTATCAATTAAAATCAAATTTCTTTCTTAAGGATTAACTAGAATGAATTAAGTTCCCATCTAGATTTTTCTTGGTTTTGTTGTTCCTATTAATCTAGAAATTAGATTCACATGACTTTATCAGGTGGGGGTGTCTCCTCCCTAAATTTCAATCTCAAAACTGAGTAGAGTGCTTCAGGGAGATTAAATGAGAATTTGGGATAATCAGTAACATAATACACAACCCTAGAACATACTACTGTTTTATGTCCTGTTTCTCTTTACAATTACAATTGTAAGTTTTAGGAAGGGAAAAAAAAATCTGAGAAAGAATGCAATTACTTTTGATAAATCAGAAAACATTTCCAATTTGATAATCAGCCCTTAATCCTTTACAGTTAAAAGTCTGATTGTTGTTAAGATCCTGGCTAAAATCCTGGGTCCAAACTTACAAAAATAAAATAAAATTAAGAAAGAACAGCAGCAGAACAACAAGGTATCTCATATTTCATGCTAAGTTAGCAATAGGAGTGAAGACTGGTGGACTGCTATGAGATCTGGAAGACACTTACACACTTGGAAATCTAACTGTTCCTCTTCCCTAGTTCCAATATCATCATAGTTCAGCCACTGACAGGTAGGCATTAGGGAGGGGATCAGCAGGAAGTAGACAGAAAGCTCCTCTAGAAAACCCATCTTGTTAAAGGCTCCTGAGGGTAATATCTCATTAATGTGTAAACATTATTTAAACTCCTTTAGGCATTATCTACTGTACCATCATAGAGGAAGACATTTCAGAGTGCTAATCAGATCTGTAACATAAAGGAGAAAGGGCCCCCCCATGTTCTGTTTTGAAAAAACATTTATCACTGAACTATTTATTTTGGAATTGGACAGGAACAAAGGCAGATACACCTGCTTATCAGTCAGCACACAGTAACATAAGAAATGCATTGTCTGCTTATATGCTTGGTTCATTTTAAAACATGAAGCTACAAATATTGAGACCCTGCTGGCCAGAGGCCAAATCATTCCTCTCAACTGACATCTTGCTAATTGCAGAAAAAATTCTACAAGGTAACTCAGGAAATAGAGAATCATAAAAACCTTGAGCCCTTGAAAGTTAATCTGTGATTGCAATGTCTTCACTGAATAGATTGCAAAGTCTGGGTCAGTCCAAGTCCTACCAACAGGCTGAGGCCTAACCTGTTACACTCTCATTTGACATCAGTTTCCTTTTCTTAATTTCCTCTGCTAGAGAAAGCACTGCTCTGGTACCTCACCCCATGGCCAAGAGCAGAGTTTCCAGATGCCAGGGTGTGCAGCTCCAATGCTGAGTGCACTCTGTCGGCCACAGCATCGTTCTGCTAAAGCCTACCTCAAAGCAGGTGAAGCTACACCTTAGCAAGCACTGCAAGCAGAAGACTAAGCATGAGAAGGCAGAATCTGAACTTGAGAGTCTAGAGAAGTCAGCCAAACTATTACTTATTGCTCAAGTTTTTAATGAAAAATGTGAGGGAAAACAAGTTGCAATAAAAAATAATAATTAAATTAGAAAGAAAGTGCTTCCACTGACAAACTGTACAAAAATCCTTTCTTCTTCTCAAAAGAACAAAACAACCCTCAGCTACTTAATAGAAAGCAGACATTTCTAATAAAATTTCCATTTTGCCAAGAGTCATTTTCCACGTAAATTTTTCTTCTATGCACTCCACTAAATTCAAAAAGAGGCTCTGTAAAACAAATTGGTTGAACTGTGCTCAAGATGGCTTTCTCTGGGCTGTTCTGCCCCAGCCCTTGGATTCTGTACACTGCTCCTCAGCCATCCCCTTGGTCAATGCTAATAAGGCAGTACACTTTTTATTTCCAGTTTCTTCACAGGCTTACGAATTTTTGCATTAACTGTATTTAAAGTTTTTATTTCAGTTGTGACAGCTTAAGACTTACTTTTATTTCAAAATTAAAGTTGAACTGACAGAACCTATATCCTCCAAAGACCCTGTTTCAGGTTGGCTGTAACTGAAGTCAGACATAGCTTGTGGTACTTGGAAGGCTCTCCTTTGGTTAACCTGTACTGCAAGGGACATCCTGGCCTTTTAAATAAACACTGAGATTTCTCAGAGACAAGACGACAACTGCGTCACAGGAATATGATCCAGAAAATGCAAAGAACTAACTACAAGACATTTGATAAGTTTAATATATTCAAGTCATCAGACTCTGCTAAAATTTACCTTAGAGTGCCTCAAAGGAACTAGCCCGGGCAAACCTTGTAACTGCTAATGATTATCTTCAGGAATTCATTCAAGACAGAGACCATAAAGGTACATCAAATCTCTGGTTTTAAGATAGCGAAAAGGTGAATCTCAGAAATTACAGGTACCAAGACAGATAAAAAAACAAATTACCAAACAAATATTAGGAGAGTAAAATAGAACATCATCGTGAATCCATCAGAACAGTGCAGTTTTCTTTGGTGAATTAACTTGCCTTGTAAGTTTAAGGAAGACAGTGGCTGTAACATATGTTAACTCTAATATGCCTTTTGACATTGCCCTATGTTACACTGTCGTAACAGAGGAACATAGCCCAGATGACAGCACCATAAATTTCACTCAGATTATTCATCAGGAGTCCTCTGTCAAATCATCAGTGAGGTTTTAGTAACATGAAAACTAGAGAAGTTCAGCTCCCAACCTCTTTTCTCTTTGTTGAATTTAACCTCAATACTTCACACCCCTCCCCTCCTCCTCTTTCCTTTTGCAACGCTAAGAAGCTACTCCATGGCAACCTCCACTCCCTGTCCTTCTTGTCATCACACCACGAAGTACTGGAACAATATACCTCTTAACCTAACAGGCCTGTTAATCAAGAGAGCTATATGACTGCTTATTACAAAACTCCCTTCCCATTATGTTGCACTTTCAATGAATCTCTTAACTAGCAGCAGTCAAGAGCATCCCCCCCTGCTGGTATCAGAATGAATTTTACCAATTCAATTTGCTGGCTGATCAAAACTAAAAATGCCAGCTGATTGCTAGTTCAGACAGCTCTGAGTTCAGCCACTTGTGCATACTTGAAATTATCTGAATGCAGTTTGAAGACTACAGCAGAAATTTTGTAATTAGAATTCTGCAATGTAGATGGTAATTTTTCCCCCTCAGTAACACACAAAGATCAGATAAACAGGAAGCAAAGTGGAAAAAAAAAAAAAAAAAAAAAAAAAAAAAAAAAC